CTGACAGTAGAATAAACCACTATAAATGTAAAAGCCCAGTCATGTTTATTTTGAGACTGTAGACGGTTAACTTTGTGTTATCTCATCTAGGAGCTGTATGCAAGTCGCAAGAATATTTGTAACCTGATGACTAATTGCACTGAAGCCTTCAATACTAGGTAAACCACTCCAACCCATTCTGTTAAGTTAGAGTGCACATTCATACTGTAGGTACATGAAAGGAGATTTATTTTGGGATAGGGTTAGGACAACAGTGCTTACAAAGAAGACATCTTTAAGTGTCTTTATAAAAGACATTGATGAGAGTAGTCTTAATTTGTCATACTGTACAGTTGAGGCACACTTGTATGTGTCTGTTTACTTTTTTACTAATATATGTTTACTATAGCTAACAACATAGATTTATGAAGAGAAAATACATCTGCTTTGTATATCTGTCCAATTTGTAGCATATTTATGGCTGCACCTAGTGTGAAGGTCCATGAAAACCAAAGGATGCTGAGGATGTTGCTGTGTACATCAAACAAAGGAGCAAACAAGAAATCTCTCATTTCTGCTACTTTGATGCTTTTTTAGACATAAATGCTTATTGCACACACACAACCAGGACATCAACCACAGAAAAAGTGGCTTTAAATCTCATGCTCTGAACACAAAATTATAATTATTAATTATTTTTGCAATCCTGTGACCAAACATGCGTTTGAATGGATCAAAGTATTATTTCATAGTTTTCAGCTTCAGCAATCATCCTTGCTGATCCCAAAGAGTCTGACACTATCTCCTAATTGGCTGCTATGTCAAAACTACTTGTTTCTTGTCTTCTCCTGTTTGTTGAGGACAGATTTTGAAAGCCTTTTCCATAAGGTCATTATATTCTTCATCATTATTGCTGCGATATTCTGCAGCAATTTAAGATCTTCTGCTCCTAAATCCCAGACTGCTGAACAGTGACAGTGGTCTGTTATCCACTGTCACTTCAGGCAAGTGGAGCGTTAACTTCTAATCAAGTAAACGAGTGACAGTAATATTCTATCATTAATTTTGTTATTAATTATTTAGATTTTATATTACAAAATGATTATAGACCAACTATATATGTGTGTGATTTCCGCCCTTCTGATTTTTTAGCATATGTTTATGACTCTTATCTGATAATGAACCATTTTAAATGATAAAGGTCTTTACTAAGTGTGTATGTAATAAACTGGATAAGGAGACATTCATCAGTAGATCCTTTCCTTTGGAGAGTTCTGTAAACCAATACTAATTAATGTTAGCTGTACATCATTCCTTATATACAGCAACTCTAGTGCAAGATTTATCCATTGGATATGATTGGTTATGTAAGGACCTATGTATGAGTCTCACTTCAGTTTCACATTTGTCTCCCTGGTGGTGAAGTACGAGCCAGTGGAGTCTAAGGACTTGGACCTTGAAGATTTTAAAGATGCTATTAAAACAAATCCTCAGGGAGACAGAGGAAACAGATCTGGACAAAGTGATCAGGAACTTACAAAGTGCGTCCCCATTAAACATTACTGAGACAATGGAAGTTGTGCATTTTGTCAGCAATCAAAATATGTTGTGATGTACTACAGAACCACACCTTACTGAACTATGTCAACTATCAGCACAATAAAAGAGACAGATCTCTCGGGTTGATGTTTTTTTTGTGTGTGTGTTGGTAGAGAGATAAAGAAGGAAATAAAATGTTTGATGCTTGTCTTCCATTATGTTGTGGGCTGTAGTAAAGAGAGAGATCTCTCTATAGCTGAGGAACAACAGCAGCAGGAGCAGCAGCAGAGTTTCCATCAAACTAGAGGCTACTGAGTAACAGCTGGCGTGTTGAGTTCATGGAAAAGCTCCTAGATCACCTCAAAGAAGGTACAGCATAGGGAATATCTGCATAACATTACCCTTTTGAATGGTGGCAGCAGAAACTTGACAAACTGTGTGATGGAGTTTAGCAATTTTATGGCTTTTCTTACTAGAAATCATAGGATAAATGTGAATGTCTTGTCCCAACACAGCACTTAATTAACGTGTATTGTTTTAGTCCACCATAGAACAGCAGTAGGGAGATTGCACAATTTAAAAACATAGTCAGTGCTGGAATAACTGTTGTTAAGTAGAATTACACCAACAGGGTTAAAGCACAGAAACAAACAGGATGTAATGCTTGTGTTAATTCATGTAAATCTGCTCTGTGTCGGGTAGCAACTGCAGTTGTAGTCTTGATAGCAGCATCAGCAAACAGAAGCAGAGCACCTGCCATCAGCTTTAATGTACATTAATAACTATAAACAGGTACAGTGAATTACGCTGTAGACAATGAGACGTTTATCTAACAGTGGGAGATAAAATAGATAAATGATAACATCAGTCTTGTTGAAATGTGATTTTTAATGATTTTTGTGATTTTTTTTTTAAGGATTGAGAAATTTAATATCTTGTGAGTTTTTCTAGGTTTGAAATCAGTGCTTTAGATCAGCTGTGATGGCTTGGTGATCTGCGACCAGTTGGGCTCTTCTGAAAGTGTCGTACCTGAGAATGTTGGACAGAGTCAATGAGAAGTTCTGTGGTAGCCCACATGTAGATTATTGATTATTGAAATGTGACACCTCTATGTCTACATAGCCTGCTTTATATTGATATTCCCATGTTAAAGCGGTCATTCAATAGCTAATTTCATTGAGTTAATTATACGCCCTGGCAGACATAAGAAAAGGAAGGTTTTCTATTATTAGGAAGAAGACTGACCTGACATTTACCTAAATGTAACTTGGATATAAAATAAGTGTGAGTGCTAATTTACCATATATTTATGTACATTTGTCAGTCAGTCACTTGTCACTTATAAATTCAATAAATCTCTTTAAGTTCATTAATTTATTATTATTTTACATTTAAGCCCTGAGCCTCTCAAGAAGCCATTCAGAGTGACAGATCAACTGGCATCAAATTGGTCTGCATACATTAATATCCTGAGATATATTATGAGATATACTGTATGTGCACACTGACACAGGTCATATTGTGTGTGGGATGACATTAAGAGGCACATTGAGAGCAAACAATGATTCAAAGACAAATTTACATTACAGATTAACCATTTTTTAGTAGCAAGAGAATACTTTACATGAACATTACTGACTCAATTCTAACAAAATGACATTATGCTGAACAACAAATAATTAACTTCTTTGCACTTTTATAATTTAAACACTAAACAGGTTCACTTATTCACTCACTCTCTCACACACAAGCACACATGGTATTTAAATTCCTGAGCAACATGGACTAAATAATCAGTATTACTATACTTCAAGATTTGGCCTCCATTCATTAGTTTTGTTGTGTCTTTAATCATCCAGGTATCATTATTAAAGTGTTTGATTTTAAGGCGAGATCATTTTCATGTCAAAGTGTCTTTCACTCGTCTAACTGTGGTTCGTGTCACCACAGTACACCACCCTGTTCTCCAGTCGCGATCGCTCAGCTTCAAACACCAGCAAATGGCTCAGGAGCGTCTCCTCAGGGCCCGAGCGGATCAGGGATGGATCGTTGTTCTGCGTTCACAAACACAGAAAGGCTAATCAACCATTACAGTCA